ATTTGAGTCAGACTCCACATCGCACTCAGAATCGCAATCCGCAGCAGCCCGAACCCTCTTCGTCACATGAGAATGCTTGGGAAAGACACCAGGGGATCCTTCCTCTATGGGCAATTGAAATTCAGGGAGACATACACTTAGGAAACAATAGATCGATAGCCGGAAACCACCGCAACGGCAGTTCCTAGTAAGAAGAGTCGCAAAAAAACTTTTTGGTTATTTTTTTTTTCTTTTTTTTTTTCTTTTTGACTTGTTTTTTAATTCCCGTGTGTGCTGTTTTTGACTTTACTGAAAGTGATGAATCATTTACCTACAGTGGAGATTATCGTTTGCCGGGTGATGTAGCCATTACAATCGATGGAACACTTGTGTGCTCATTTAGCTTTGATCCTCATTTGACAAAATTGGAGTCCACTTATGTGTGGTTCAAGTACAGTCGTCCGTGGGACAAATCCTCGGGACAACTGGATGGAAGGAGCTGTGAAGTAACATTCACATTTCATTGGGTCGGTGGTCCAAATGCATCAAAATCCTAAGTTGTGGATATTGGCTCAAATATTGTTTTGTTTACTATCTCTGTTGTGTTGCATGTCGTCCGCTTTGAGAAAGGAAGAGATTATTCTTTCCTTTCTCATGTATTAGCTGAAAGCAAAGGAAGAGTGTTTTTGGTTGATAGAATTTTATATTAACAAAAGTACAAAAGGAAGACATGCAGCACGTGGGCAAGCTATCAAAGGAAAGGAATGATGGCTGAAGTCAGCCTTTGTCAAAAAGAAGGGAACAAAAAGCCATGTGAAGCAAGCTTGAAAATGGGAAAAGCAAGTTTGACTAGCTGCATATTGATCACTATTTGCATGTGATTGTTTATCCCTAGATTAACGGATTGGCTACTATATTTATGAAGCCAACTAGAGCTATGCGTAATTAGGGACTTCGTTGGCAGCAGGAGAGGAGCGGCTGGTTTCTTTTCCATTGCTGGTGGTTGAGCTGATTCAGGGCATTAATGTCCCTTGTTTTGTGGAGGACTTTGAAGGTGCTCATGCAGATGTTGGACCAAGTTCTTGGTTATTTAATGAAGGCTTGGCAGAGAGAAAGGTGTGGGCAGTTTTGGTGAGCACAATAGGTGAGAGAGTGCTATTGTCATGGGGCAAGCCGTACGCCCCATGGTGTCTTTGCTGCTGCACCTTTTGTGTGAGGAAGGGATGGTGATGTGAAGAACTTCTTTGTTTATAAATTACGTAGCCTCTCTCTCTCTTTTGGTATTTGTGTGTGAGTGACTTGGGTGTATTTGGAATTGGGGTTGTGAGAGTTAAACTCTATAATTCCTAAACTAGGTGAGAGTGTTTAATCTCCTTTGTTTGTAATCTCCTTTGGGATACTAGTGGAAGTTCTTGCCATCTTCGAATTGGATGTAGGCTACACACGGGCCGAACTAGTATAAATCCTTGGGTCTCTTGGATTTTGCTATTTTCATATTTGTCTTGTTGTTTCAACAGTTCCGTATTGTCCACCCAGTGCAATTCGCTTATGCTGCACACAACAGTGGAGTCCACCTAGAATACCATCAAGATAGTGACGGCAATGATAATGATGTTGGAAATTTGGCTCACATTAAGGTTGCAAGTGAAGGAGGCAGCGACCGGTCGCAAGGTTTGGGCGACCGGTCGTTTTTGGACAGAGTCGAAGTCTGGAAAATTCGCAGGAAGCGACCGGTCGCAAGGTATCCGCGACCGGTCGTTAGGTATCCAAATGGTCTCAACGACCGGTCGTAAGGTATCCGCGACCGGTCGCCCATGCGCTGTGCTGATGTTTTCCTTACGTGTTGTCAACTATGTTTTCGAGGGCTATCGCTTTCCACAAGATTTCAGAGGCTTAGTGGGTCACTTCTGAGGTAAAAGAAGGTGGACTACCTGTTGGATAGTTGGGAGAGCACTCATTGCTAATTGGTTGTCTTGCTTTGAAGGATCCATTCTCCATTTTCTGGTTTAGTGGAAGGTGGCTGAAGTGAGATTTGTTTACTTACATGATCTGATCTTTAGTCTAAGTGGGAGACTAAAGGAAGGAACGTGGAAGACAAGATGGTGCCTTATCTTATGTCCATTGGTCTGTGTAAGTAATGGGATGTGAAGCAAGACATTATAAGATGAGAAAGCAAGTTGAAGTTAGGAGTGGCTATGGCTGTGGCTTAGTTCACCAAGGGGTGGCTTAGTTCACCAAGGGGTGACTTAGTTCACCAAGGGAGTGCTCTTTATTCCTCAAGGGGTGTGGTTAATCTCAAGGTGGTCAAGTAGCTGGGAGCTAGTGTGTCCAAAGGAGGTTAACTCACCAAGGGAGAACGTGAGGGAGAGCAATCAGTTCAAGTTAAGAGCTGAGTTGGGGTCTTGAGAGTCTAGACACCAAGGAGGGAAATACCAAGGGTTGTGAGAGTGTTCACAAGTGCATCAAAGTGTTGAGCAAGGGGTGTGAGAGAAAAGAGAGCTTGGGGAGATAATAGAGTTCTAAGGGGGTTTTCTGTGTAAAACCAAAGTTGTAACTTATTCTTTCATGAAGTGAATTTCTCAAGGGGATCACCAAGAGAATGTAGGCAATTGCTGAACCTCTATAAATTCTTGTGTCACTTTGTGCTTGGTTGTTGTCTCAAGTATGTGTGTGTGATTCATCCATCATTGTGTGTGTCACAAAGTCCATCAACAACAAGATCATTAGGGAAGAGTGAAAGTGTTTGTCCATTTTTCACAACAAATGATGTGGATGATCATGAACCCTCAGCTCTCATGGCCGTTGATGATGATGATGATGATGACACCAACGTCGTCAATAATGAGCTGTCCTTATCTTTCCATGTTGGCTACCACAATCTATGATTTGTTTACATGGCCGGCTACGTAATTTACTTTCATCAATACTCTCTCTACAATCTATGATTTGTTTACATGGCCGGCTACGTAATTTACTTTCATCAATACTCTCTCTCTTTCTTGTTCTCGACGCAAGTTTCACTTATTTTTTTTGTTTTTGTTTTTGTTTTTTTGGTACTTGTTTTAGGTATACCTCTTACAAACTGGGTTTCTCAATAATTATGCTAAAAAAAACTTTAATATGTGAAATAGCTTCCTGGACTCTTTGTTTCCAAATTTTTGCTAAATGATGATCAATATTAATATTATTTTTTTTATATCATACTTAAGCTGGTACAGAGCCAATTTTTCTTAGTTTTTTCCGTTCAAGAGATATAGCCACGTTGGGTCTCTTTGTTTTTTTGGTCATTAGAGGATTTTATTAACGGAAAGCACCAGCAACAGCCAGAAAGATTTTATAAACATCAAAACACAAACAGAAAGACCAAGAACAGCAAACACTAGCTGAAAACTAACGCCTAGATAAAAGGCCAAGCGACAATCCCCAGACCGGAAGCATCAATCTCTAAGCCTGGCAACTGAAACTAAACATTTGGGGGACAAGGCAGGCCATCCTGGTCTCTTCCATTCCAAATTGGGGTCGACTTTGGGGGCTAGGATTCTCAAAAAAAAATCTTTTTGGGAATCTGGTTCTCCCTTGCTTGCATCTGGTTCAAGGCAAATGAATCCACCTACTAATGTGCAAAGAAGAAAGCTTCCTGTAAGTTTTGTTATTTATTTTGCAATATTTTTTCCTCAACTTTTATATATGTGTAATTGATGTAAGTCCTTGTGTGTGGCTATGCGAATCAGGAGAACTTCCTTTGTCAATGGTCAACATTTACATATGATGTCTTTCTGAGTTTTAGAGGCGAGGATACACGCACCAATTTTACAGATCATTTGTACAATGCCTTGTCTGATAAGGGCATCTACACTTTCATTGATCGAGAGCTTACAAGAGGAGATGAAATATCGCCAGCCCTTGTCAAAGCAATTGAAGAATCAAGAATTTCTCTCATTGTATTCTCTGAAAACTATGCATCTTCGAGGTGGTGTTTGGATGAACTTGTTGAGATCTTTCGATGTAAAGAATCAAAGCAAAAAATAGTTTTGCCCATTTTTTACAAGGTGGATCCATCTCATGTGCGAAACCAAACAAGTAAATTTGGTGATGCATTTAAAGGCCTTATTGAAAGCAAATTCAAAGATAACGAGGAGAAGGTGCTCATATGGAGGAAAGCTCTTACAAAAGCAGCAAATTTGTCCGGACATCCTTTCAAGGATGGAGAGTATATTTCTACCCACTGTAGTGCATTATGTTTAATTTAATGTCTTGATTCTAATCTATATATTTCAGGCTTATCTATCTTTTTCAACTTAATTTTGTTCCTTCTTTGTTCTTTGGTTACATTTAATTGTTACTCATTAAAGAAAAGTATTCTTTTGTGAAAATATAAAACTGTAGAAAAGTATTTGGTGTACTTTTGTATTTTCGAAAGTTGTACGTTCAAAACCCATAATATTAATAGAAAAGTTGATATAGATCCAAATTTCCATTGAGAAGTTTGGTTTAATCCTCGGATTTGGTGACTTTGATCCAAGTCCTTTGACTTTGATACAAGTATCAATGATTCAAAACATTGTATACTATAGTAACTTTCAGGAAAAAACTAAGTCATTATTGGGAGGTCTATGGTAAAGAACTATTATTACGTCAGTTTTTTTTTTTTTTTGGTCAGAAGAACTATCAGTATGTTGCGTTCTTTTGCGTGGTTGGATGTTTAAATCTGATTCATTAAATGTGTCTAATTTGGTTAAACTGGCAGGTATGAAGCTACATTTATCAACAACATTGTTGACGGAATCTTAGTCCAAGTACTGAGCGGCACATATTGGAATGTGGCCAAGCACCCAGTTGGAATTCAATCTCGTGTACAAAATGTGGAAATGCTTTTAGATGTTGGTGGACATGGTCGTCGCATGGTTGGGATATGGGGGACATCTGGAATAGGTAAGACAACAATTGCAAAAGCTATATGGAATGCAATTGCCCATGAGTTTGAAGGAAGTTGTTTCTTGGCAAATGTTAGAGAAAATTCAATGCCACATGGAGGCTTAATCCAGCTACAGGAGACTCTTCTTCATAAGTATCTAGGCAAAAAGTTGAAAATTCACAGTGCTGATGAAGGAATCGGTGTTATAAAAGAACGGTTGAGGCATAAAAAAATTATATTAGTTCTTGACGATGTGGATCAATTGGAGCAGTTAGAAAACTTGGCTGGAGTTGGTTGGTTTGGGGAGGGTAGTAGAGTTATCATTACTACAAAAGATAGTGGATTGCTAAATTCCCATGGAATTGAGTCGATATACCATGTCCAAGAGTTAAATGACGACCAAGCTCTTGAGCTTTTCAGTTTGAATGCCTTTGGAAGAAGTGAACCTCCAAAGGATTTTTCGGAACTCGCACAACGTGCAATAGCTTATGCTCAAGGCCTTCCAGTAGCTCTAACACTTTTAGGTTCCCATCTTTGTAATAAACGAATACATCGTTGGCAAGTTATATTAGATGATTATGAAGGAGAACCTTATACAGGTATTCAAAAAGTACTTCGAAAAAGTTATGATGCCTTGGAAAATTCCGTGCAACAAGTTTTTCTAGACATTGCTTGTTTCTTCAAGGGTGAACATAAGAACTATGTGCTACAAATAGTAAGCAGTTCTAAGAACAAGGTCACACAAGATTGCATTGAAGTCCTTGTAGAGAAGGCAATGATAACCATTGAATGCAATAAGATTTTAATTCATGACTTGCTAGAAAAACTGGGCAAGGATATAGTTCGTGAAGAATCCCCCAATGATCCCGGCAAACGTAGTAGATTGTGGTTTCACGAGGATGTCAAGCAAGTTCTAATGGAAAATACAGTGAGTATAATATATGTTATTATTACCAATTGGACAAGAAAGAATAGCATATGTAACCTATAATTTTCTTATAACAAAATGCGTGCTTGCATTTTGGTTTGTAAACACTGGTTTCTGTATGTTAATATTTTCCATCTTAGGGAACAAGAAAAATTAAAGGCATCATGGTGAAGCTTCCAGAACCAGATGAGATACCCTTGAATGAAAAAAGCTTCGTTGGGATGGTAAATCTTGAAATTTTCATAAACCGTAATGCATTTCTATCTGGACACATTGAATATCTGCCAAATGAGTTAAGGTTGATTGATTGGGGTAGATGTCAGTTACAATTTTTGCCATCCAATTTTCGTGCAAAACATCTTGTTGTATTCAATATGCCTTGCAGTGATATCAGAATATTGGAGAGATTTAAGGTACGTACTTTAAATAGCTTTCTCTATTATTAGTTCAAATACAGTTCTTATTTTCACAAATATATATATTGTTCTAAGTTTCTATCTTTTGAAACGTATTAATCATTTCCTGATTTGTTTTATGTATCACAGAATTTGCCAAAGTTGACTTCTATGAATTTAAGAGGTTGTCAATTCTTAAAAAAAATCCCTGACTTATCCGGACTCCCAAACTTAAAGTGCCTGAATCTAAGTGAGTGTACGAGTTTGGTTGAGGTTGACGGTTCTGTTGGATTCCTTGATAAACTTGTTGAATTGGATCTTGGTGGATGCTTCGAGCTTACGAGGTTTGCAACAAGACTTGGATTGAAATCTCTTAGAAGATTTGTTCTTATTGATTGCAAAAGGCTTGAGAGTTTCCCAGAAATAGAGGTGAAGATGGAATCACTGTGGAATTTGTATATGGAAGGAAGTGGCATAAGAGAATTGCCTTCATCAATTGCAAATCTTACTGAACTTAGAAAACTGAGTGCTGATTATTGTGAGAACCTTACAATTACGTCATTACGTAGTATATATGGATTGCAACGTCTCACTGAGCTCAGTCTCAATGGGTGCCCAAAACTCCTTTCATTTAGGGATAAGGTGAACTCTGAAGTTTCATCCAGCAACACCAAATTACATCTGCTTTCAACTAACTCAAACATCTCCTTAGCGCTTCCCAACCTATTTGAATTTGATGTCAAAGGATGCAATTTATCAGAAAGTGATTTCCTCCTGCCTCTTGATTGTTGGTCCACACTAACATATCTTGATCTATCAGGAAACAATTTTGTCAGGCTTTCGGGATGCATTAACAAATTTATCAACTTGCGCCACCTTTACTTGCATGATTGCAGGAGTCTTCTGGAAATTCCAGACGAAGTGCTTCCACCAAGAGTAGCTTGCATAGTCCTGGATAACTGCACATCATTGGAAAAAATTCCAAAACTGCCACCTGCGGTTGAGCATCTGAGTTTGATCAATTGCATTAGACTACGTGGCTATGACATCGGAGAAAATATTTTTCTGAATCAGGTTTCTATCTCTTCTCTCTCTCTCTCTCTCAATCTCCCCCCCTCTATATTATGTCATCAAGATGATGATTGTAGCAAACCATTCTATTGTAGGTATATTCAGAATTTGAAATTCATCTTCCAGGCGATGAAGTTCTAAAGTGGTTCAGCTGTTGTAAAGATGCAGCACTAGTTGAACATTATCCTAATCCAGATGGTGAAGAGGAATATGATGCTGGATGTGAAGTTTGTTTTGAAATTCCTCCAAATTTAAAATGGGAGACGTTAAGATTGGTTCTATGTATTGTTAGTTATCATGATCCAAATTTTCATGCCCATATTCTTATCAATGGAGAACGCATCAATGGTACACGCGTTCAAGAACGAATGACTGATGCAGAGACAGATGAAACTCATGTGTGGCTCTACTGTATTCCATTATTGGATCCGGACAAATTATGTGTGGGGGAAGGACCGACGCGGTTGCAGCAGGGTAATATGTGTCAAATTATATTTGACTTGTATGGCAAAGGGCCCAAACCCGTTAAAATCCCCTGGGGGGTCCACCTATTAGGCCACCAGGTTGCTGATGTCAGTGAGAGTGATGTCATGGCTGTTGACGATGATATAACGATGAACATGAATGAATCAGGGAAGAGGCTTCGTGGATCAAATATCATCGCAGTTGATGATCATGATCATCATCATGAAGAGCAATGGCTTCGTTCGTCTTCAGAACTAGCGGATCACCCAAAGCGGAGGCATATTAATATTGATGAGGAGCAAATGTATGTCAATCCATTAAATGCATTTTCTAGTCGTATATCTGCATTTTGTGTTCAATTCAAATTTAGCAATATTTTTTGGTTTGGATTAAATTCTTATTCTCAGTGCTCTACATTCACGATCAAATTTTCAGGCAATGAAGTTACAAAGTGGTTCTGCTGTCGGACTAGGAACGTACCAAATTTCTGGGAAATGATCTTGGGAGGCAAGAGGTGAGTTAATAAGACGCCAACAGTTTCTGAGATTCCATTTTAAGTTGCAAAAGGCAATACCATTCTTCTCAACTGATGCATCCAGCATTTATCCGTGGATGAACAGAATTGGTTCCAACCAGATTTATCTAATGCTTTCATTACACATCCTACTTTGTCTCTGATTCAATGGAATGGAATTGATGTAACATGTTTCTGGGCAGTTCTATTTCATAATTTCCAATCAAGGTTTGTTGAAAAACATGCATTCTAAAGAGAACGTTGCTGGTATCCGAATATGTCCAACATATTTCTGTTTGAAAGATTGTCTAATTATAAAGTGATGTTGCTGGTATTTGCAAGGTACAAGGATCCTACTGAGAATGTCGAAACAATTGAAACTAGCTCCATTTAACCAAAAAGATTTTGGCTTTTGAAACTAGGAAATAGATGACAGGAATTATAACTTTAGTCTTTTTCAATTTTTATTTTTATATTGTTAAGTTTATGCTTTTTAAGTTGACTAGTCATCGCATGATGTTCATGCATTTTTTGGGTTTGTGTTTTTGCGGTTGACTAGTCATCATTATCTGTTGTTTGGTGTTTACATAATTATGATGCATTCACACACTTTCACCATAGTTGTTGCTAGCACAGGGGATGCCTAGATTGACGGGTCCTTCTGAGTGCCTAGGTTGTCACTTGTAATCTTCTAGGCTTGCAGGTACATGTTGGTTTGCTCTGTGTGTGTGTTCTTGGTTATGGTTATTCATGACTAGCAGTTGACTAGTCATAAGTATATTTGGTCAAAGTCTAAAGTGTGTGAAGATTGTTGTGTTTCTTTGAATAGCTTTTAAATTTACCCCTCGTCACCTAAGTACCAATTTCAATTGGTATCAAAGCGTCAGCTCTTAACACAAATAGACAGATCCTAGGATTTGTTTTGGTGTTTAGGTGTTCTCACTATAGAAAGGGAACGAGTTGCAGGATCTTGTAACTCCCCCCCTTTCTTTGATGGAAATAATTATGCTGCATGGAGAGAAATATTTAAGATATTCCTTGATGCTCTTGATGAGTATGCAAATGAATATCTCACAACAGAGTGGTTACCTCCAGTCAAGACTGTTGAGGGTAAAATTGTGCCCAAACCTAGGTCTGGATGGACTGAATTTGAGTCATTTGCTGCACATTCCAACAAGAAGGCCAGAAATGCCATAGTTACAGCCTTGTCTAGCACACAGTTCTCACACATGCAACACATTCCTAATGCTAAACAGGCTTGGGACAAACTAAGGGTTGTTCATGAAGGGGATGATCAAGTTAGAACACTAAAACTTCAAATGGTGCTTGCTCAATTTGAAGAACTTAGGATGGCTGAAACTGAGTCTATATCTGAGTTTTATGGGAGAGTTGAGATCACAAATGAAGCCATGAGTCTTGGTTAACCTATTGAAGAACTTCTTGTTGTTCAGAAAATTCTTCGTGTTCTTTCTAGGTTTAGAGCAAAGAAAACCGCAATCATGGAAGTCCAAAACTTAAATGAAATTAAGATTGACAAGCTTGTAGGTAAATTAAAAACCTAAGAGATGGAGTTGAATATGGAGGAAAATGACACTAAAAAATAAAAATAAAAATGTTGCACTTCAAGGAGTGCATGATACCTCACTGAAAGGTGGTGAAAAATCCTCAGCTTTTGAGGATGAGATGGCTTTGCTTGTCAAAAAGTTTAGAAGATTCCTCAAGGATAAAGGGAAGTTTGCAAGAGAGGATAGTTCTAAAAGTGAGAGAAAATTTAGACCATCAACTGATCGGTCTAATGAGCAGAACAAGTATGTCAAATCCTTCACTAAAGACTCTAAGAAATCAGTCAAATGCTTCACATGTGGAGGCATTGGGCACTATGCTACCGATTGTGCAAACAACCAGAAAAAATACTCCAAAGGAAAGGACAAAGCCATGAAAGTAAGCTGGAGCGAGAGTGAAAGTGATGTATCTCAAGAGTATTCATCTTTTTCTGACGATGATGACCAACTGTTTGTGCCTAATAAATCTCGGCCGATGAAGCTGACCGAAGGAACTTCCTCTCGGACCTAGTGCCTACCCACGGATGAACGTTGCAAGTTGTTGTTCGCTTTCTTTCGTTAAAAGCAAAGGTGAGCTTGTAAGGCAAAGTCATCACGGCCTCGGTGATACTGGCCGAGGACAAAGGGAGCAACAACTCCTCAGAAACACGGCCAAGATAGGAAAGTCAAGTGGTGTCGCCACATGGTAACAAGGTCCCACGCCTCATTTAATGAAGTAACGCCTCTGACTACAGCAGAAGACCCACGTCACGTAAGAGCATTTAATGTGCAAGAGAAGATAGGAAGTGATTGAAGTTAGGATATGGCGAGTAAAATCAGGGATTATGTGCGAAAATCTCACAACTTGTAAGATTAAGTCACCAACCATCAGACCAGGGCATTAAATGCTCCTCCAAGGCCCAAGACACAAAGCCCATCATTAGGGCGGCGGCCGGGATTTATGGGGGTCACACCACCATACTTCACGTCCCCAAACGTCAGTTTGACTACCCACTATCTCTGATCAGCCTCATCATACAGATTTTCAGAATCATGGTCTTCTCAGGACCTTTCCTATAAATACCGGGCTCCAATTACATTTAAAGGGTTCAACACCAAACACAAGCCTCCCACAGAGCAGATTATATTTTCCTGTCATTTACTTCCTGTCATTTATCTTCTTGTAATGTATTTTCAATACTTTTACTAGCTTTCTTAGGAGTAGTGGCAGTTTGTAGGAAAATCCATTCAACAATATATCATACGACCCTTGATTTTCAAGGCACCGGAGCACCATCTTTGTTACTCTTTCGTTCATTTCATATATCATACGACCGTCGCCACCCAGCGACGCGCCGGAGCACCACCCAAAAACCACCATCAGCATCACCATTAACGGCCTTGTAGCTCAGGCCGTGAACTTGACGACCGAGATCAGTCCCTCTCTCGGCCACAGTTGCTCTAATTAGAAGTTAGACTCAAACAGGCGCACTACTCATCTATTCACCTAATCAACTCATCCTCAAACGTACGGTAAACCGTGCTGGCACGCCCACGCACACTCGTACCGCGCCAAAGAAGGACGACCCGTGTTGGCGTAGATCCCTTCGGCCCAGAGCACCAGGCCGTGAGATTCGCGTTGGTCAACACCAACAAATTGTCTTCATTGCCTCTGTGCAACTATTGTCAGATGAATCTGCTTCAGATTCAGATGACTAGTCATACGAGTCCTTAGGAAGAAAATATGACTGCTTGTTCAAAGAGACTTTTTCCTTGAAAGAAGAAAATCTCAAAAAAGAGTTGAGTGACAAATTTGAGTCCTTAGAAAATGAAACTGTTGAGCTTTTGTCAATTAGGAGAAATCTTGAAAATTAAGTAAATGTGCTCAAAGAGAGCAACATTGGTTTCTAGAATTCAAACAAATAGCTCATAAGTGAATTGAATGAGGCAAAAAGTAAGGTTATATCTTTGACCATTGGTGTCTCAAAAATTGACAAAATGTTGAATATGGGAAAACTTTGAAAATGGTACTTAGGTGACGAGGGGTAAAATTGCACGATACTTAAACAAAACACAACAATCTTCACACACTTTAGACCTTGACCAAATATACTTATGACTAGTCAACTGCTAGTCATGAATAACCATAACCAAGAACACACACACAGAGCAAACCAACATGTACCTGCAAACCTAGAAGATTACTAGTGACAACCTAGGTACTCAGAAGGACCCGTCAATCTAGGCATCCCCTGTGCTAGCAACAACTATGGGGAAAGTGTGTGAAGGCATCATAATCATGTAAACACCAAACAACATATAATGATGACTAGTCAACCGCAAGAACACAAACCCAGAAATACATAAACATCATGCGATGACTAGTCAACTATCAAGAACACAAACCTAGAAAATTACAGAGATGCAAACCAGAAATTGTTCACTCAGAAACCCACCATTAGGAAAAACTGGGGGTCATCAACCGACTAGGCAATCCACTAAGCAAAAAAGATTCTTACAAAGAAACACAAGCAAGCTCAAGAAATCCTAGATCTATTTAGGAAGATGAGCTATACCTCCTTTGTGCAATCTTCTTCTCCAACTTAGCAAAACCAGCAGCTTAGTCCTTTATGGCAATGGTAGCTCCTTCTTCAGCTCTTTCATCCCATGGTACCAGTTAGCCATCTCAAACTCAGCCAGAAACCAAAATTTGGATTCAAAGGAAAAATAACCAATTTCTTCAAGAAACCATACTCTTGAAGAAATCAATCTTGAATCTGA